TAACTCCCCACTCTTCTCCCCCCCATTTATTACCCATATCTACTCTGGGAGTTCCCTCAACCCTCTGGAGCAGATTTCAGGGGTGGCACGGGCAGAGGAGAGGGAGGGGAAGTTTCATTTTGTGAGCAAATGTATTTCCGCTTGGACAGTTAACTGTGTTGAATTCAGCCCATTGATTTAGACCCATGGGACTACTCTGAATATGACTATTGTTAGATATCACCCATGCTCTTTCAGAAAAGAGCCACATGGTCTTGCCATAGACCTAACCCATTTCCCCCCAGTACATAGACATACTTCCTCCTGCTTGTCTACTCATATGTATGAACGCTCTAGTCTTAAAAAATTAGAACAAGACAACCAGCTAATGACAAAGCACAAAGGAAAGGAAGAAAAAGTAAATCTACCATTGAATCTACAATTTAGATATTTTTTTTCTTGCAGAGAGAACATTGCTGCAGGGTATGTAATTGAAACATTATGCATCCTGACACATGTTTCTATGTTAGATGTGTTGCACGAAAAGGACTTTGGCAAAGGAGGGAAATTCTTGGAATTTATAACCTACATTCAAATAGGGGAAGTTTTTATTTTTTTAAAATAGTGAGGATAGCATTTTCAAAGTAGCATTTTCCAACTACAATTAAAACCGTAACTTTTAGAAGTGTGTTTAAATGCTATTGAGGAATGTAAACAAATGCTTCTCTATTATACAGTAACGGATACCAATACCAATATTCTATACAATGTAAATATAAACACAGTATTACAAAGGGAGACCATCCAGACTTTCTTTCAAGTAACTATCTCATTCCACACCATTGAACAGCATCCTTTTAACCTTACAGCTTTTCTCTTAAGCTTTTCTTCTTGAGACCTTAACACAAAATGTGGGCATTTCACAGATGTTCTGACTATATCCTTAATGTACAGAAATGCCCCTGCTTCCATTTTTGAGACATGCAATTCTTCTCCAAAAGGAATAACCAGATCTGTGGATATTAAGTTTTTATCCTAATCTTCCTCCAAGGAGCAAAGGGTCTCCCTCTCTCCTTTATCTTCACAACAACCTTGTGAGGTAGTATAGGCTGAGACAGATTATGCTGAGAGGTAGTCCTAGGTCACCCATCATGCTTTCCAGCCGAGCTAGCCATTTGAATCCTGGTGTCTGTCAAACTTTCTACCCATACCAGCACATTGGAATAAACATACTTAAAATAATCTGGTGGCTTGAAGCGGGGGAGGGGGCACTACATCTAAATTTCAGAATCACAGACAAACACGCAGCATTTCCTGTCTCTGAAATGGCACAATCAGGCCTAAGCCTGGGTGATAATGAGATGTTTCTTCTCTGACACCTGCTGTACCATCCAGTAGAACATTTTGGGGAGTTCGACTTCCCCATGAGGCTTTGGCGAATTTAAAAACATTTCAGCAAAGTTTGCTATCAAGCAGATATATAATATGCCTGTGTCGTATGTGATGTACGCTACTGGTAATGTTGATTTTTATACTATGCTGAAATATTTGTGCATCACTGAGGCAGTACATTGGAAAGGCGGGTTAAAAAGCTTTACAGTGGTACCTCGGGTTAAGTACTTAATTCGTTCCAGAGGACCGTGCTCGACTTGAAACTGTTCTTAACCTGAAGCAGCACTTTAGCTAATGGGGCCCTCTGCTGCTGCCACGCCGCCGGAGCACGATTTCTGTTCTTATCCTGAAGCAAAGTTCTTAACCTGAAGCACTATTTCTGGGTTAGTGGAATCTGTAACCTGAAGCATATGTAACCTGAAGCATATGTAACCTGAGGTATCACTGTATGTCAGATAAAACAAGGAGAACTAAAATAGCATGCCAACCCCAACAAAACTAATAACTTAGGAAAAGGGTACCGAAGTGTTCCGTTTGGGGCAGCAAAAAACTCCAAATAATTAAGGTTTTGGTCTCTTTCATCTTTGTTTCATCTGCATGTACAAAAGATGCAGATAAGATGCATATGCACAAAAGGTTTCAAAAAAAGAAGTCTGCGCTTTAGCTCTCTATAAGCAAGGGTACTTTGGTTATTATTCACGCCTGCAGATGTTTCATGCATGTAGGATTCTTCTAATATCAACCAACTTCCATGCAGTAAAATACTTGCACCATCATGAACTGCAGATCCTGTATGTCTGGTGTCAGAGAGATTACTGAGAATCATGTTTCACTCGCTTGAGTGTGGAATAGGAAACAATTAAGTGCCATAGAATATACAGGGTGGTCCAAATATCATGTATTTATAAGGTACATTTCAATGTTTCAATGGCAGCGAGACCCCCAGAGTGCATGGGCACTTGGACCACTCTGCATTTGCTACCTCTCTGGTAATCCCACAAACACATGTTGTGTTTGATATTTTAGCCTACAATTCTGCTTCTTTCACAAGTATGGTTGTAAGTGCTAAGCTACTTCTCAGAATGCTATTTTGCTATAGGGATCAAAAATAAGTTTTAAAAAGCAAAAGTCGTTGATTGCATTTTCATGTCAGTAGAGCATGCAACTCTTGACAAATCCTAAAGATTCATGATTGGCAAGAGCTATAAACAGAGAAAAAACTTCACTTTCAGTAAAAACAACAGGTAAAGGCATTTACCCTGGAGAACAGTTCTAACCAACCCACAAAATGATCAGGTGAGCCTTCCTGAACAAAGTTGCTGTTATGTACTGAGCTGAATAGGATCCAAAATGCAGCAGTCTGATTGGTCCTAGAACAATAGGATACAAAATGCAGCAGTCTGATTGGTCCTAGAACAATGCAGCAGTATGATTGGTCTGCAGGAGTCACCCAACCCAGCTCCAGATGGAAGTGAATCCACAACCTGATTGGCCTACAGGAGAATTCCGGAATTAGCCAATCATGTGCAGCCCATTGTGTAAATAATGTATATAAAGCAGATACTTTAGGGGAACATCCATTTCCTCCTCACCACTATGAGCTGAATAAAGAGCATGAAATCCACTCTCAACTCCGAGTATATTTCAGTTGCATAGTTGGAGTGCCATCATCAAAAAGAGTTTAGATCATATGCCTACCCAGCACCCACTGTACTTCAGACAGCTGAAGCACACAGCAGGTCTTCAGAAAATCTAAACTTGAGTGGCGGAGAAATATATTTTCTCTGAAGTAAGTTCTATTGCTTGTTTGGTTGTGTTTTTGTTTTGATGGAGATAACCTTTAGCAAAAGATTTTTTTCCCATGGAGTTAAAATGGAGAAGTGCTATCTCATTTTCATTTTCAGTCCTACAGGAACTCAACAATTCTGAGGAGGCGTCATGGCAGCAAGTGAGGTTGGTGCAGTGTAAATGTGCCAGTAAGTGCCCTGGAAGGGCTCTGCCAGTGCATTTGCACCACTCCAACCTGGCTGCCACATCCACTTCCTCCTCTCCACCCCAGTGTGCTGCCAGTGACACATCTGGAGGGAAGTCGGATAAGTGGCAGCCCCACCTTGCCATCTGCTGCTGGGGTCTCAAAATGGAAGAAGGCCGTTTCAGGTGTTGCTTTACCAGCATGAGAGGAACCACAGAAGCAAGAGTGGTAGGAACCATCAAACATGTCTTAAGAGGTCTAAGCAATGGTTCCTGGTTTGTATTTAAACTTAGAACCTTCAATGGGAATTAGAAAGTACATGCCCAAAAGGAGTCTTAGGCCTATTACTGTAGAGAGATCTTTTGTACACAATGGTGGAACCTGTCAGCTCTAAATCTCTTTGCTGAATCTCTTCCTACTGTAAAAAAAAGAAAGGATTGACGAGCTACAGTTTGGCAAAGATCTGAGTATATCCCAAGGGTTTCTAATTTTTGCCCAACTAATTCCATAATAAACAGTAAGAGAGCCTTTTATCTGTATGTTTTGTGTGCAGTGAAGTCACATCAAAGGGCTGAGCAGCTTATTTTCATCTACTTGGAAGCTGCTCTCTATACTTTTTTGGCAATGCTGTATGCTGTTGCTAAAAATATGTCACTCTGCTTGTAAACTTCCATACATAAAAACAAAAACGACTTCAGGAAACTCAAGATTTGGAGGACTGACATACTTCCCCACCCCCTTCATCTGCCTTTGTAACCCCTCTCACCCAATGTAGTTTCCAGCATCACTTTATGCATCATATTAAGCAAATAGGCATGAGTTATGAAACGTTCCAAATCTCCTTGAGAACCTTTTAGGCTGCAATTCAGCTCTCTTTCCATAGAGGGCAGAAACTCTTGTCATATCAGTGGGGTGGGGGGATGTGCTGCTGAATCCAACAGTGGTCCAGCCCACACCTCAATAAGTGGTACGTTGTTTTTGGGGGCGCACCAGCGCCATGTTATAGTTGCCAAGTGTTCTACTTTGCACCAGGCAGTTCCGTATTTGAAGGAGTCAACCTGTTTGAAAGGCCTTCCAGTTTAAGGAGGGAGCACGGGGACCTTGAATTTGTCCCAATCAACAATTAGCAAACTCAGCATGCACACCCACTGCCTCGTCTCAGTTTTCCCCATAATGGACAGGGCATTCTATTTCTATTTCATTGTGGAATAGTGCTTAGAATGCTGGACCAGGACTTGGGAGACTGGAGTCAAATCCCCACTCAGCCATGACTTTGGACCACACACAATCTCTTAGCTATTAGGATAAAATGGGTGGGGTATCCTATACACCATCCTGAGCACCAAAATTTACATCTATTTTATAAATGAGCCTATCCAAATCTGATGCTAAGCTGTGTCTTCTACTGCCCTCTTTTTTGGGGGGGGGGTTCCCTCCTTTTTGGTGATGTTTAATTTGCCACCCTAACCCATTTGCAAGGAGAATGAATAAATAGCATGTGTAGGAATGCCTGGGTTTCTTATTGGACAGGTTTCAGGGAGAAGGGAATAGCTAGTCCCAAGCTTCCTTCCATCCTCCCTTGGCATTGACTGACAGCTATCTGTGTAAAAGAGAAACAAAATAAAAAAAAAATCCTTCCAGTAGCACCTTAGAGACCAACTAAGTTTGTTATTGGTATGAGCTTTTGTGTGCATGCACACTTCTTCAGATACAGTGAAACAGAAGTCACCAGACCCTTATATATAGTGAGAGGGTGGGGAGGGGTATTACTCAGAAGGGCGGTGGGAATGGGTGATTGGCTGGTAGGTGTGCTAAACTTCTGGTAGGTGTGGTGACTTCAGTTTCAGTGTATCTGAAGAAGTGTGCATGCACACGAAAGCTCATACCAGTAACAAACTTGGTTGGTCTCTAAGGTGCTACTGGAAGGAATTTTTTTTATTTTGTTTTGACTACGGCAGACCAACACAGCTACCTACCTGTGTAAAAGAGAGAGAGGGAGCGATAATGTCAGCCATTTTGTTGATTGGAAAGTAAGAGGTCAGGTTTCTGAAGCATATGCTCCCTCATGTCCACCCCAATTGCTTAGTCAACAAAAAAAATTGCCTGGAGTGCTGCATTATGTCCCCTGTCTGAGGGTAACCTACCCTGCACTTAGTGCTTCTTCCTATTGGCACTCTAGCTTGCCTAAACCGCATTTTCACCACCACCAGTGCAATAAACAATATACCGTATTTTTTGCACCATAACACTCACTTTTTTCCTCCTAAAAAGTAAGGGGAAATGTCTGTGCGTGTTATGGAGGGAATGCCTACGGGTGGCATGCCTACGGATTTTCCTCCTCTAAAAAATATGTGCATGTTATGGTCGGGTGCGTGTTATAGAGCGAAAAATACGGTAAGCAATAAGTTAAGGTACAGAACCCCAACAAAACACAATTATCAGACTGGACTGTTGTAACAACTTCCAATGGCAAAACAGAAAACAAGGGACAATGTAACAGACTCAAATATAATACCTAACAACATTAATGGTACTTAATTATCAACATAGAAAAACCAAGCGATTTTTTTTCTGTTAGCAATTTATGACAACAAATATTAATGTAGTTCTTGTTGACTTGCATTTCTCCACATTCATTATTATTATTTTTTAAAGAAGGAAACCACTTAGTGTTAAAATCTGCCTTGCCTTAGCTTTTTAAAAACTCTCAATTGGCAAATGTAAAGTTTAACAGCCTTCTTAAAATGTACAGGTCATAATTGTTACCAGGTTCTGTAAATTAATTAAAATGCAGTCACGAATATGGAGCTTTCGTGGCTATCTGCTCATTAGAGCTCAGCTTGCTAATGGCGTATAAAATCCCAGTAAAATGTAATCATGATTCTTTCCCAATGTGCTACTGGGTGAAGAATAAAGTAGCAGGAAGGAGACAAAATGTAATAAAAAAATAAAAAAATAAGTAAATACAAAGCTAAAACAAGGCAACAGGGTTGGGTTTTTAAAACTCAGTTTTCTGCCATTGCATGCGTGAGGCACAGATCTGAGTGTTACAGCAGCAACTGTGGTTTTTTTCTCATTTTGAAATGCTGTAATCAGCCCAGCTGAAGCACAGCGTCAGAATCACCCAGTGCACCAACAGGGACTTTATTGCACTTGGAATGTATTGACAAAGGGCTCATTATTTGTCACGCTGAAAAGAGTGGCTGCTTGAGAAAAAAACAAATTGCTACTATACAAAGTTGTCAGAAGGAGCATGCAAAAATATATATAAATAAAACAGCTGGGTAAGATAATAATTCAAGCAACTTTGTACATGCAGACAGCTGATTTGGAAGTGATGAAAACATACAGATGGGGAAGTCGGGATGGTACAGCTTTGCTTGTACAGAGAAAGAGAGAGAGAGGAACAGAGATGCTATGTATACAAATTTACTCAGAACTAAATCACATGGAGTTTGGTTAGACTTATTCCCGAGTAGCTGTACACAGCACCACAGCCATCATTGGGGGAGAAAATCAGGCAACAAACTGTATAGATTCATGATGTGAAACTCTTATGATGATGAGTGTTCTGAAGACTTAGCACAGTGGGAAATGTGTCAAATTAAGACGCAAAATGAGAGCCTTGCTTGGTGAAATTCAGCTTGGATTTGTGCATCCAATAAAGAGGTTAACTTGAGTGATGCTCTCTAGATGTTGACGGACTACAACCCCCAACATCCTTGACTACTAGCCATGTTGGCTGAAGCTGAAGGGAACTGTAGTCCAATGACAACTGGAGAAAGTCCTCTTTGCTGTTGTTATCGCCACTTGGTAGGCTCGACGCTGAGCTCCAACCCATGTTCATTCTGACTCAGAATGAGTTTTCCGCTACCAGCACTCTAGCAGTTTCAGCAATTGCTTCATCGCCCTCAGCTCTGGGGGAAACCACGGGGCCATCCAGGTTCCATGCAATTGGAGAGGGTGCTTTGGAGCCGGACTGTTGATAGCCCTGGTTAACTCCGCATTCTAGCGGGCCACCAAGAAATCGGCTGAGAGGCCATCAACATGGGGTAAAACACCCCCTACCATTCTCTGGAAACCATTTGGAGCCATTAAGTGGACCATCCAAATCAGTCCCATAACCCTGTGGAGGGGAAGGGTCATGGAAATGTCTAGTTGCACCAGGAAGTGATCCGACCATGGCACTTCTTTTGTTTCACTTTTACTTAATGTCAGATCACCCACATCCATAGAGGTGAACACCAGGCCTATGGCATGGGTTGGGCCAAACTTATTCATGGACAGCCCCATGAAGGCCATGCTTTCCACAAAGTCCCGAGCGGCCCCTTGTAAGGTCGTGTTGGCGCAAATGTTAAAATCCTCTAGGACAACCCAACTAGGTGTCTCCAGGAGAACATCCGCCAAGACCTGAACCAGCTCAGGCAGGGAATCTTTGGTGCAGTGGGGAGGTTGGTACACCAATAAGAATCCTGTACTGCCCCTTTTGCCCAACTTCCAGAACATGCACTCAGAAAACTGGGTCCCCCCATTGTAATTTCCAATATCCCCCTTGGATCCCTTTTTAAACAATCAAGTGTTACATTAAACCATTTTCCAATCCCCGGTATGGAAGCTGATCTTAGGGACAAATGTTTTTGTTCCAGACAGGGAAGGAGGGAGGAAGCAATTGAGGATACACTTTTGAGATCTCTAACAAGGCCTCCAGTTAAGCAGAAAGGGGAGACATGCCTGAAGTAGTAGGACCATAATAGCACTGCAAATTCTTTACAAGTCACATCTAAAGGATTTAAGTGGGACTTGTAATGATTTGGGAAGTGAGGAATGACTCATTGGTTTGCCTTTATGGACTCCCCAATTCTAGATTCTGGTGCCCTCTCACCAAGTTGTATCAGATGTCATCTGAGTCTGCTGTACATACCAGAAATGTAAAATATTACTCTCAAAACTCACACAATATTATTAAATTCCATTTTACTATTCTGTGATCTTTGGCTGTACTATGTCTTTCTGACTCAAGGCCCATATCCCAAGGCCACTTCTCTTTTGTGCTCCTAATTGGCTGTTATTGTGAGAATTCAGCAACAGACAGTTAATTCACAAAGTAGATCCTGAATACAGTTTGTGACAGCTGTACACTTGAATCATCCCCTGTGTGAGCAAAAAGGCAAATTTCCCAGACGTGCATCAAACTCTGTTCAGCCTACATGCAAGTCCGAGATGAATGTTAAAACTGGAGCTTCTAAGACATAGAGAAAAAGAATGTAATATCGAGGACACCCAAGTACAGAATGGCTTCCAAAAATTTAGTGGCCATTCGGAATGGAATCTCAATATTTGTCCAGAGGCAGATGGCACTGTAACAGGGCTGGGAGCAGGGGAAGCTCATTTCATTCATTCAAACACCAATGCTATTATTGTCCTTCCAATGACCTGAACTGCTCCGAAAGCTCCCATTGACTAAAGAAAAGTTGTTCATGCTCAGCTCCTTTAGAATGGAATCTTTGAGGATGGAAAGGCCATAGCTCAGTGGCAAAGCATCTGCCTTGCATGCAGAAGGTCCCTGGTTCAATCCCAGCATCTCCACCAAAGACCAGATAATAAAGCAACAGGCACTGGAGGCATGACTTATTAATATTTATGGAATTTATATACTGCCCTATACCCAGAGGTCTCAGGGCAGTTAGTTCATGCCAGAAAAACCACAACAAGTGACCCAAGGCTCTGTGTAATAATCAGAAATGCGAACCTCATAAGTGTAAGACTGCACTTAAAAAAATAAATAAATGGAGGTTTCTAGGTCAATAAGCAAACCTAAGGTGCAAGGTTAACTTTGTGACTAATCCCACAATCCAAAACACTTGCTCTGATTGACAGGTTTGCCTGAAATACCGTTCAATGTCAGTCCAACATCATGGTTTCTCCTTTTGTTTTCCTCTTCTGCAGGATCAACTCCCTGCCTGCCATTCAAACTGCTCACTATACCATGAAATAACATTTTTGCTGTGCGAATTATGGTAACCAGAGCAAAACCAGATATAATTACCTGTGTTTGGCCCCATCTGCACTTTTAAAGCAGTATTATACCACTTTAAACACTCCTGGCTTCCCCCAAAGAATCCTGGGAAATGTAGTTTGTTAATGGTGCTGAGAATTGGAAGCTGAGAGCTTCCATTGTCGGAGGCTGTGAGGTAACTCTGTGAGGGGAATAGAGGTCACCTAACAACTCTCAGGAACCTTATCAAGCTACATTTCCCAGGATTCCTTGGGGGAAGCCATGACTGTGTAAATTGTCATGAGGCGGCTTTAAATGTATACTGCAGATAGGACCTTTGTTAGGCATATTACATTTTATCTCTTCAGAGAAGGCACTGTGGTTATTATTTCTTGACTTAAGCTTTATGTTCATCTACATAAAGGTTTTTTTTTTAAAAAAAGTCATTATCCTCAATGTTGGGGCAGCAAGAGTTTGCACACACACGACAGAATGATACACAATGGAGTAGTCACTAAGTATTACTGCAAATTTTCTCATTGTCCTGCATTTGGAAAATAAATGAGAAAGCTTAAGTTACAAGAATGTGTGTTGGATTTTTGTTTGATTTATTAAATGCCTACCTCACCCTTCTTCCACAGAGGTCCACAGCTGTGTCCTGTCCAGCAGTGACCAAGTCTAGATCCACTTCGACAATGACATAGCACAATGTGCCTTCACAAACCATGCCCTGAGGTCCATTTAAAATGAGGCCAGGCTAAACCAGCCTTGTATCAACAGTGTTTGCAACAAACAAGGAGATGTTTTCTTCTCGAAAAACATCCTTCCTTTCCACGCCTCATGCGGCACCATTTTCCTCAAGGGTTTGCCCAGGTACTGTCCTCCTAATAAACAGAATTAAGGGTCCTGTCTGTGGTATTGTAGTTCAGAATGCCATAAAAAGGCAATTAATGGTTCACTACCTTTTTTAAGCATCAAGGAGTAACGCTGTTTGACCTTTCCCCCCTCAGACACCAAAATTGTCTTCCTCCGGCAGCCACTGGGCTTCCTCAGCCACAGACTCCATACATGCGATTATGTGAAGAAACACTAATACGGCTTACCTGAGGTAAAATAAACACCTCCCAGAATAGTGCTGCATGTCTGAAAATCTCCTGGCAAAAAGAGGAGGTTTCTAATGCAACTCTTTCCATGTCTACTCAGAAAGCAAGTTAGATTTGAGTAGGGCTTACTCCCAAGTAAATCAGTATAAAACTACAGCCTCATTGAGCCCTCAGTAGATTTCTATAGATGGACAGCATCAGTGGAGACACAGCCCTCCTCCTGCTGGAATTGCCTAGCAATATTTTTTTTAAAAAATTCTCCTCAGAATCTCAAAAGCCACACATTTTCCTGATCCTCATAATCTTATACTTCCTCAAATTTACAAAGGTATTTCTGTCCATTGCCTGTTTTCTGGCCAATCAGCTCTCTGCACCAGTCAAAAAGTATAACTATGTGAAAGAGATTATTCTCAGGTGCCTTTAAGCTGGGGAGAAAACATGCACAGCCACTATATGGGAAGAGTCAGACCTGCTTCAGTAACATTCCCATGTGTAAGCACTTAGCCTATCACACACAGATTCTGAGCATGCTCAGAGCTATTTCCTGAAGGTCAGAGAAGCAAAAAGGAAGCGTTTCCTACTTCGATTAGCTGCTTTTTTATGTCTACTATTTATTTTGTGGCTTTCCAAGCAAGCAACAGAGAGCCTCTTTCTATAATTAATACCTATTTTTACTTAATCATCTTGCATTTATTTATTTTTTGAACTGGGGACTTGGGAGGTGGGAGAAATGGGTGGCTGTTGTAGCAGCAAACTCTGCAGTAACCATTTCCCAACATTTGTTCATTAAAAGCTGCAGCAGCAGCAGCTGGGTGAGGCAGGACAGATGAGGATGGAAACCCAGCCAGATGGGCGGGGTATAAATAATAAATTATTATTATTATTATTATTATTATTATTATTATTATTATTATCTTCTGTGTCAATTCCAGAAAAGTGTGTGGACCTGCTTCCAGCAAGCACCTACCCTAGCAGCAGATGTATCTTGAATGCCTAGGAATGTGGGAAACTGTCACTGTTATTTCTACACTGCCCTTTTGTGAGTTTGTTGGCGAATTTCTAAAATGCAAAAATTGGGCTTCGTGCCTCCTGGAAATGACTCCACATCTCCCTTCAAACCTGGAAGATATTCCCTGAAATACATAACAGAGGTTGGTTGTGATTAGTCTGGTGGGAGGAACTTTGTGTCAATGAAACAATCAATGAGGCATTTTTTGCTGGTCTATTGGTTGGAATACTTTGTCCTATAATTTAGAGAAAAGAAGTGTTTTGGATAATGAATGGTTAAATTGATTTTGTGGGGAAGGAAAACCGCATGCAGCTGGAAGCAAGTTTCCCTCACATTTTAAAAGTTATTTTGTGTTTAGGCCTTTTGGGCAGTGGATGTTTAGGTGTAAACAATACATGACTTCCAAAACGTATGTCCTGTGGTGTGGCTTAATTTCTAAATAAGATGTATGGCATCAGCGTTGTCTGAAAATCACACCAGGACCCTCTTATGTGGAAGCTCTTTCCCTGTACATAAATGTGCAGAGAATAACTGATGGGTTAGTTTTATTAAGAGAGGAAAAGGGAAAGTCTCTCTGCACAGGAATGGTGCATGCTACTAAATAAGCGCTGTCCAAATCCTATTATGGTGAATATATCAAGATTAAAAATTGCAGTTCTACCAAGTCAAACTGTTACCATCCTCCACTGGCTGGTATGGTGCATTGAATTTGATAGGTCAGAATTTGTGTGAGTCTGGCCACAAGTTGTACATGAATCCAATTTACATCAGATTATGATGCAAGCACAGTACAATAGGTTGTGATGTTGTGGTAAAGTAGCAGTCTGGGCACTTTGTCCAAAACTCATTTATTTTTTATTTCCCCCCACTCCCAGTTACGAGGGGTTACAGAATCAAACAATAATCTGTTAAGCCTTTCCTAAGGGTTAGGGTTAGAATTTTTCGGCAAAGGAGGAAGAATGCCATGTTTTCATTTCCCTTCCAGTGGATAGTATTTCATTTGTTTTTATTAACGTACTCTGTCAAAAATTATGAAGGGGACCAGATTTTTTAAAGTATCCTCACAGTATGATGTACATTTCAAATCTAATAGAAAAATTCAGGTAAACGGAATGAAAAATGTCAGGTTAAAAAAAGCTGCCAGCATGCTCTGTTAATTCTCCTTGGGTGCAGTTAATAAAATGAGGCGATAATTCTGTCTCTTGTTAATGTTCAACCTCACAGTGATTAAAAAAAGGAAAAGATTAAGGTATTGGTGTGACATACTCTAGAAGCAGTTTCTAGGTGAAATTGTATGATATGCATTAAAATAAAAGAGCTTACCTCAGCTCTGAGAAACCGCTTGTTGGGTACTAATTCAATGTAAAGCTGAAATGGAAGTAAAGTTTATCAGATCAATCAGCATTATCAGATTAGGTGTGTGTGCCCCCCCTCAAAAATCTATATTTCAGGCCAACTCTGCTTTACTAGAAATGATAATAAAACAATAAGCTTATAATACAATGGATATTTGCAAAAACTGCTGCTGTGAGGAGGGCAAGCTGTATGTTTAATTGCATATTATTTATTTGGTTTGGTTTGGTTTTGAAATGCCCAGGTGCTTTTAAATGCTCAGAGCAACTTAAAAAAGAAAAAAGAAAATACTAGATTAACAACATACTATTAGCATTTAAAAAAATCAGCTAAAACTGAGAATTAATATCAGTAGCTGGGAAAAGCTCTTGTACAAGGAGACCCGCTTCCTCTCTCTGACTCTCTCCTTCTGAATGAGTACTCTGTAGTTCTCTATGAGTACTCTATGGTTCATCTAGCACAATGATTGGGATCTTTGGCCCTGTGAGCCAGATGTGGTCCTTCAGTCCTCCCTATCTTGCCCTTGGAGCTCTCCCTGGACTACACCCCTTCCTTAGCTACACCCACTTCCCCCAGGACATGCTCCTCACCAGTCTAACCCTGTTTCACACCCTCCTTGGGTGTGGTTTTTTTTTTTTTTGTGGGGGAACTGGCTGGAATGTGTCCTTGAGCTCTAATGAAGCCTCATTGCTTTGCCTGGTTGGAGGATGGAGACAGATATGTGTAGATACTATTATTGTTATTTCTGGCCTTGTCCAAGACTAGCCAATGGCAGGTTGCCCAGAAGAGAATGCAGCCTTCACACCAAAAATGGTTCCTCATGCCTGGTCTAGTGCTTCAGTCAAGACAACCACATAGAAAAATTAAACACTGGGTTCAAATTATATGGGTCCAGCCCTCAGCCCCTTTGGAGATAGCCTTCATAGTACTGTTTTAGAAGGCACACTACTTTCTTGAATAGACTTGTCTCTATACAAGCTCCCCCACCATGCTTCATCATGTTTCTCTGTGCCTATGTGTCTCATGTAGATGGTAACCTGGTCTCTGCATTGCTTTGCTTATTCAAGAAACCCACCCATGTTCTCTACATGAATTACACAGAGGTTTGAGCAAAGTGGGCCTGCTCTCT